GCGGGCAGGGCATTCGCACACCATATTATTTATCAGGTTTCGTGCCCCTCCCGCCACTCCAGGGAGGCCCCGCCTGAGCGGGCAGGGTATTCGCACGCCATAGTTTATTATTAGGTTTCGTGCCGTTCCTGCCCCTCCAGGGAGGCCCCACCAGAGCGGGCAGGGTATTCGCACACCATATGATTTATCAGGTGTCGTGCCCCTCCCACCCCTCCAGGGAGGCCCCACCAGAGCGGGCAGGGTATTCGCACACCATGTTATTTATCAGGTTTGGTGCCCCTCCCACCCCTCCAGGGAGGCCCCACCAGAGCGGGCAGGGTATTCGCACACCATATTATTCATCAGGTTTCGTGCCCCTCCCACCCCTCCAGGGAGGCCCCACCAGAGCGCAGGCAAGAAGCAATGGAACCCCGTAACATCTTTATGTGGGGAACTCCGTTAGCATAATTCTCGAGACGCCCGTGTTGAAACGCAACATGTACAGTGTTCAAAATGTCAGTGTCAACACACAGCATATTGGCTCGACACGGGTAGGCCCACGTTTTTGCGAGCGTGTTGCGCCAGGCCTACGTTTTCAGTCTGCTTGTTGCGCTCCGTATCAGCACGCTACTGGTTGCGTGCTGCGTACCGGGGCAGCGAAGGCCGGGGCCGAACAAGGGTCGTATCGTTAGAGAGCTGTTGTCTCGACTGGCCCTCCTGATCCTGGGGCGGGATGCTCGCGAGGAGGGGCCCTCGGCGAGTGAGCTGGGCGCGGGCGGCGGTGGGCACAGCCGCAGTCATCGGGAGGGGGGCACTGCCCGCCTCCGCGCGCGAAGAGCTCCGCCGCGTCGGGGGAGTCGGGGGGGGGCGGAGGCCAGGTCCACGGGCCCTCACCAGACCCCCTCGAGTCATGACAGGAGCAGCGACGCAAGGTTTCTCGCTGTCTTCGGCCACTGCAGACCCCTGCAGGAGGAAAGACTGGTCCTGGGGAGTGGGTCGAGAACTCTAGACGCTTCGCGTATCCCCACCAACCTTTCGTTTCGCTTCTCTCGTCATGGTTTCTCTTCTCGTTGCTTCCGTCCTTCGGTTCTCGCCCTCGGTTGCCTCTTCGCTTCGCCTGCCTCTGTCTCCGCTCTGTAGCTTTCGCCACCCTTGTCCCCTTTTCCGCATCCCATTTGCGACAGCAGGGCTTGCGCTACTCTTTCGACTTTACGGACGGCGCGCGGCTGACCGCGTCGTTCGCGGGCAAACAGTATCCCCATTGCGCGTGTTCGGACGGCGCGCGGTTGGACCGCGACGCTCGCGAAAAAACATCCCCACCAGACCATCCAGAAACGATGTCCAGGCGAGTGGAGGTGATCAGGGAAGTGCGGGCTCAAACATAGGGGCGGCCGAACCGTGCGAAGGAGGGAGGAAAAGAAGGAGGAGGCTGGATGGATGAGGGAGTGGGGGTAAGAAGGATGAGTCGGATGATGATGCTGATGATGGTGATGTTGTTGTTGATGATGTTAAGGACAATGATGTTGATGTTGCTGATGATGATGCTGATGATGATGGTGATAATGATGATGATGTTGATGATGTTGATGATGCTGATGATGATGATGATGATGATGCTGATGATGATGATGATGATGCTGCTGATGATGATGATGATGATGACGATGATGATGATGATGATGATGATGATGATGATGGGGGAGGAGGAGGAGGAGGAGGAGGAGGAGGAGCAGGAGGAGGAGGAGCAGGAGGAGCAGGAGGAGGAGGGCAAGCAAAAGGGCCAGAGCTCTCGTGAATGCCGCTCGCAGCCTCTTGGGGTATCTCTTTGGCGTTTTTTTTGCCTCCTGGGACGGCTTGGGGGTCTCTTGGAGGTCCTGGGGGGCTCTTGGGCGTCTTGGGTGCCTCGGGGGGGCCTCTTGAGGCCGCTGGGGGTCCTCTTGGGGGCCTCTCGCGGGCCTCTTCGGGCCATCTTGGGGCCATCTTGGGACCTCCTCCGGCCTCCTGGGCGCCCCTTGGGGCGGCTTGGATGACTGGGTGTCCTTTTCAGTGGGCTCCTTTGCTTGCCAATGGTCGTGTCTACATGCTGTGCTATGTGAGCTCGTGGATGTGCCAGATCTGACGACGCACTAGTCCGCGGGTGGTTCGATGGCCGCGTTCCAGAGTGCGTATCTCGATACTGGTCAAAGCGCACTTACTACAGGCGGGCGCCAGCTTGGTTGGTTAGGTGCCTTCTTTCGGGCTCTTGAGCCAATGGCTTGGCCCACGTACTTGTTCACACATGCTCTTGGTTTGGGCTGCTGTATACATGAGTTAGACCCTCGATGCTTCGAAGTCTGCGTCCCAGGGTGTGTGTGTGTGTGTGTGTTTGTGTGTGTGTGTCGTGACGCGGGTCAAAGCGCACCCGACACGGGCGAGTGCCGATTGGGGTTGCTTGGAATCTTCCTCTGTGGATTTGTAGCCAACAGTTTGGCCAACGGGCTGAGTTACGTACATCTGCACGTGGTTTTGCCAACTGTGTCGCTGAGTCGGCCCGCGAACGTCTCCAAGCCCCTGCCCCTGGGTCGTTATCCCGACGTGGGTCAAAGCGCGCACATTTCGGGTGCGAGCCAGGTGGGGTGGCTGGGTGCCCTCTTCTTCTTGGCCTCGAGCACGTGGCTTGCCCCATCGAATGTATGAAAGACGCCGACAGCGAACCACCGCCGCCTCCTGCCTATGAACGCGCCCACGTGTTCAAAACGTTGGGCAAAGTCCAGCAAAGCTAGTGGAATATGTGTTTCCGTAGCCGTTGTGGAACCGTTTTGGGGAACAGTTGGGCGAGGGAGAGAGAGAGAGAGAGAGTGTGTGTAATAGAGAGAGTGAAAGAGAGAGAGAGAGAGAGAGAGAGAGTGAGAGAGAGAGAGGGAGAGGAGGAGGAGAGGGAGGATAAGAAGGACGAGGTGGGGGAGGAGGAGACCGCTTCGGGGCCTCTTGGACCCTCTGTGGGTCTTCCTGGGGGCCTGTTGTTATCCCGACGTGGGTCAAAGCGCATCCATTTCGTGTGGGAGCCAGTTGGGGTGGCTGGGTGCCCTCTTCTGTGGGCTCCTTAGCCGATGGCTCGGTCCACATTTTGTACTTCGTAAACCCACTGTTGTGCCAGATCTGACGACGCCTCAGTCCGCGGGTGCTTCGAAGGCCGCGTCCCAGGATGCTAATCTCGACACGGGTCAAAGCGCACCCAATACGGGCGAGCGCTGCTTGGGTGAACGGGTGTCCTCTTCTGTGGGCTCCTTAGCCAATGGCTCGGTCCACATACTGTGCTTCGTACGTTCATTGTTGTGCCATGTCTGACGAAACCTCAGTCCGCAGGTGCTTCGAAGGCCGCGTCCCAGGGTGCAAATCTCGATGTGGGTCACATCGCGCCCAACGCGGGCGAGCGCAGGTCGCGATGGCTGGGTCTCCTCTTCTGTGGGCTCCTTAGCCAATGGTTCGGTCCACATGCTGTGCTACGACAGCTCATTTGTTGTGCCAGATCTGACGACGCCTCAGTCCGCTGATGCTTCGAAGGCCTCGTCCCAGGGTGCTAATCTCGATGTGGGTCGAAGCGCACCCAATGCGGGCGAGCGATGGTTTGGGTGGCTGGGTCTCCTCTTCTGTGGGCTCCTTAGCAAATGGCTTGGTCCTCATGCTGTGATGCATTCGTAGAGGTGCCAGATACCACGACGAGCTAGTCCGCGGTTGCTTCGAAGGCCGCGTCCCAGGGCGCGTAGCTCGACGCGGGTCAAAGCGCACCAAATATGGGCCAGTGCCGGCTTGGATGGCTGGGTGTCCTCACCAGTGGGCTCCCTAGCCAATCGCTTCATCTACATGCTGTGCTACCTAAGCTCGTGGAGGTGCCAGATCTGACGACGCACTAGTCCGCGGGTGGTTCGAAGGCCGAGCCCCAGAGTGCTAATCTCGACGCGGGCCAAAGCGCACTCCATACAGGCGAACGCCAGCTTAGATGGCTGGGTGCCTTCTTTCTTTCAGGCTTCTGAGCCAATGGCTTGGCCCACGTACTTTGTCACGCATGCTCTTGGTTAGGTTAAGCCCTCGATGCTTCGAAATCTGCGTCCCAGGTTGTGTGTCTCGACGCGGGTCAAAGCGCACCCAATACGGGCGAGCGCCAGCTGGGATAGCTGGGTGCCTTCTTTCCTTCATGACCCTGAGCCAAGTGCTTGGCCCACGTACTTTGGCACACATGCTCTTGGTGTGGGCTTCTTCGCAAATAAGTTTGACACTCGATGCTTCGAAGTCTGCGTCCCAGGGTGTGTGTGTGTGTGTTGTGTGTCTTGACGTGGGTCAGCGCGCACCCAATACGGGCGAGCGCCGCCTCCTACCTCCTGCCGCCGCCGCCGCCAGGCCGGGTCAAAGCGAGCCACCGCCGCCTCCTGCCTATGAGCGCGCCCACGTGTTCAAAACGCTGGGCCAAAGTCCAGCCAAGCCAGTGGACGGTGTGCTTCCATAGCCGTTGTGAAACCATTTCGGGGAACCGTTGGGCGAGGAAGAGAGAGACAGAGAGAGAGGGGAGTGATAGAGAGAAAGAGGGAGTGAGAGAGAGGAGAGGTGGAGGAGAGGGAGGATATAAGGACGAGGTGGGGCAGGAAGAGACCGCTTCGGGGCCTCTTGGACCCTCTGGGGGTCTTCCAGGTGGCCTCTCGGGCCCCCGGGGGGGCTCTCGGGGGCCTGTTGGGGGCCTCCTGGGGCGTCTTTGGGGCCTCGTGGGTGTTTTCGCTTGGGTGATCGACGATATCGGTTGTCGTGAAGGCGTGCGGCGAAGCAACCAAGCTCTCATAAGTAACATTCTGATATTGCGCAGGCTGCAGTCCTTCTCGGCAAAGGAGGCGGCCGTCATCGTCTCAGCCTCGACTGCCTCTTTCTGGCTCGCAGGCAGGATCCAGCACGCCTGGCGTGCTTCGATTCTGGAGGAGGGGGGGGTCCGCGCGGCTCGCTCGGCAACGGAGGCGGCCGTCATCGTCCCCGCTGCGACCGCCTCCCTTTGGCTCAGAGGAAGTATCCAGCACGTTCTGCGTGCTCCGCTGCGGGGGGGGGCGGATCCTCTCGGACCTCCTGAGGTCCGACGCCACAAGCAAGCTGCAGCATCGCGAACAACTCACGGCCGGAGCCCCAGACCCCATCTGCGGCATTCCTTGGGCGGGATCGATTTGTGATGGCAATGGGGCCCGAACCCCGGGCGAACACGCTCGGGGGCGGCCATGGGGGGTGATGACTGTACGGGGGGGGATCTCCTGGCCAGATTTCACGGCCCCTCCTCGTATCTCAATGCGCCCCCTGGCCCCCCCAGGGCCGCGCACGTGCCTCGGGTCATGATCTGCGAAGCCCCCTCTTTGCACGCCCCCCTCACCAGACATCCAGCGCTCCCACTTGTTCGATGTGTGGGCCCCCGGAGGTCTGGACAATTCCCTATAGGGCCGGTTTTTCGTCCCGAGGAGTCTTTGACCGTCCTGGGGCCCGCTGAAGGCTTCTGGAGGCCGAGAATCGCTCAAAAACGTGTGCTGGTTTTGTCACGACGCGAGGGGTTCTGGATCCTTGGATCGGGGGTTGCTAAAGGTGCCTCTGGCCGGAGGTGCCCTGGGCTTTGCGCTCAATTTGGAGCCCCTGGGGCCCTCTGGGCCTCGTGAGGGGGCGCTCAGGCCGTGGGGGCCTCCTTGGAAATCCTGGGGGCACCTTGGGCCAGGGGGGCACCCCTGCAGCCACTCCCGACTGGACGCCCCCGAGACGCCCGCGGTGGCAGCAGGCTGCAGCGCCTGGACCTCCGGGGCTCGGGCCCCCTGGGGAGGCGCGGCGTGCTCGTGCGCGGGGGGGCGCCCGAGCACGCGCCCCCCGGCGCGGCGCGCGGGCCGCCCCCGGCTGCGCTCTCGTGTACGGGGGGGGGCCTCTCCCCAGGCGTCCGGCGTCTCGATTTGTTCGGGACGCGGGCCCCGACCCCGAGGAGGGAAAGGTACCCATGACCCGATACCGCTAACCCGCCATCGTGCTCGCCTTTTCGGCCCTCCTGGGAGGCCTCGGAATCCTGGTCAGAACGCACCCCAGGAGAGGTCGGGGGTGAGCAGCGGTATCGGTACCTCGATTCGTGTTCGAGACACGGGCCCCCGACTTGTCGATTTGGAGCCTGCGGGGGGTCCTAGGTGGCCCAGCAATGGTTTTGGCTAGCAGAGGCAGGGGGGGGCGCGAGGTTCGAGGTGATGGGCTTGAGAATGTTTTTCCCAACCATCCTGTGGTGTTGGGTCCTCGTTTTGAAGAGACAGCGCCCCGCATTCTCCTCCTCTCCTCCTCCTTCCTCCCGCTCCTCCTTCCTCCATCCTCTCCTCCCCTGCATCAATGTGATGGTTGTGCACGCTCCCCACTCCCGCTCCCACTCTCCCACGCAGACGCCTGAGCGCAAGGTTGCAGAGTGGTGGGAGGTCACCACACAGCTTGCGAAGACAACCAGGCTGGGTGCAGAGCATCTCATTACGTTAGTTGACCCCAACGCAGCTCTGGGCAGCACCAGCTCGCCTGCAGTTGGAAACCAGGACCCAGAGCAAGATAATCTTGCTAGAGTCCACTTTCATCGTTTCTTCCTCGGCACACAACAGTGGACCCCCTCTACCTTCACGCAGTCTTACTCTGGGCTCAGGGTCCTGGGCGGCCCCGTCGGGCAAAGCCTGCGCTACGAGGAGAGACTACGTCACTGTCTCTGAAACCAGTGCTACATTGCAGCAGGGGGTCGACGGGGTAGTTGATCTCACTGCCTCTCAGCAGGATCACCAAGCAGTTGGGGCTCTCCTACTTCTGCCTCCATTGGGTTGCCTTCAAGAGCGCATTGCGCCAAACAAGGTCCCACATGACCCCAAGCTTTTCAAAGATCCCGAGGCAAGGGCCCATCTCAGACAGCTTCTCCAGGAGGCCCCAGCAGAGGAGTTCGACATACACAGCTCCGATTATATAATGGTACTGGACCAGCATGCCCGCAATTGCATGGCTATCGCCTTCCTCGTCAAGCAGAGTGACAGAGGGGACCCAGCCATGTCAGGGATGGATACAGCAAGATACTATGACAGCAATCGACCAGCGTACCCGTGCCCAACGCCAAGCGAAACAAGTCCGAGGGGCGATGTCTACGGCTATGTGAGCAGTATTATTTGTTTTGCGCGGGCGCAGCCCCCTATTCATGCCAGGTTGGTGGATCTTCATGTCTGGACGGCCTCTTCTCACGTTACCTCCGACACCCGATACCGTGATAGAGGCTTGGGAGAGAGGCATCATAATTTTCAACCGGCTTTGTAAGTCTTCTGCGAGCTACCCTAGACACCTCTGCCAAACTACAAGAAGCGAAGCCAACTAAGCGCAAGCGCGCGAAGTGGCTCAGGCTAGATACCAGGCAGAGATGCAGCCTTTCTCGTTGCGATGGGCGCCAACAGGTTCTATGTAAAGTGTTCTACTACCGTTTCCCTGCTCAGAGGTATATGGGACTTTCTTGTTGGGGCCGAGGGACAGCAGCTGCCGTGCGTCAGCTTTCCAAACGACACAACACTTACGCACGTGGTTCAATGCCTCTCGTGGCAAAACGCGCTCGAACACTATCACAGGCTGGTCGATCAACTGCAGTCGGAGTGGGGCGAACACTGGGTGGACAAGGCTTTCGCCACACTCCGACGGATGGGAGCTGGGTCCAAGAGACAAGTAGTTGTACAAGCTCTGCTGGTGGTCATGGGCAAGGACGGAGTTCCAGCAACCGCACGCACGCAGACTGCCAACAGATGGTGATCACATGTTGGAAGGGAGGAGTGTTCAGCAATTGCACCTTAGGTGCAATTGCTGAGCACGTCCTCGTCCCAGCACTTGCAGGTTTTCCGGCTGCGTGCGCAGGCGCCCGCCCCAGCGCAGTGCTGCGAGCGCAGACGGCATCGCGGGGCGCTTGCTAGCCGCATATGCTCCCGAATTTACAGAGCTAGATTTTCCAGCGGCAGGAACCGCAGCACTGGAAAGGGGGGATTGTACCAACAACAGTGAAACCGATCTAAGGACCCGTCACGACCTATCCACTCCAGAGCCGTCATGCTATCACCCCACACCGGGAAGATATACAAGTCCCTGGTCCGCAGGCCGCTCGCAGAGGCCCTTCAGGATACGTTGGGGGCTCGCAGTTTGGGGGGCATCGTTGGCCGAGGGGTAGACCTCGCAGGTGTGGCGCCCAGGACTTATTAGAATATAGCAGAGCTGCGTAACACCTCCACCATGTATCTTCTCATAGATGTGGTCCAGGCTTCTTCAAATCAGTCAGACCGTTGGCGATGAAATCAGGGCAAACCCTATAATATTTGGCAGCGCTTTTTTAAAGACCACTGGGCTGCCGCCATGCGCAGACTGTTTGACCGTTTGAAGATGTGCACTACCGGTATGGAAACACGGGCCTGAGTGGCCTCATCCTACCACGGGTTTTGGTTACATTGCCATGGACCATCTTTGGTGGCCCACCTTATGATTGGGACGGTCCCGGAACAAGAATTATGGCGGAATGCATGCAGCTTGCTAAAGACCAAGTCCAGCATGTCAATTTAGCCTTCCAGGTTCCGACATTGCCAGGAGCAACCATCGCCCAGATGATGGAGCACGAGCCAGCGGTTACGCAGCCCGCCTTAGAAATCCCTTTCTTGGGCGACGGCGCCTCCGCCGCGATGGTCGATCCGCTCCAGCAGATCGGGCTTGCGCCTCAGGTGGCGGGCGCGGTCGCAACATCATTTGCAGCAAGAGGCGTCGAGCTAAACTGGGCGGCAGGAAAGACAGACTTGCTCTTTCAATCCATGGCCAACGCGCACGAGCAGCACGAAGTGTGCTTTGGAAACAGCTACACGGCACTTTCGAGTGGCACGCCGATGCCATGTGCCTTATTCGTCTGGGGTCCTTGCGTCAAAATCCACGTATAGGCACCATCTGGGATGATAAGTGTAGCTAAGGACCCGAGATGGCCCATCGCATTGCGGCCAGTGCGCATTCCTCGCACGTCTCGGGAAGGTAAGTATTCTAAGCAGTCCCTCGGGGCCCCGGGGCCCTCATCATGATTTTGCGTTTCGTCGACTCGCTGCTCTTCCTCCTCGCCCCTCTTTATCTCGGGCACATGGCGCAGGTTAGAGCCGGCGGGCATTCGACGAGCTACGACGCGCCATGCTCAGGAGGCACCGCGCAGGCGCGCGGCATGCATCTGTGCGACGACAAAGCTACGGCGGACAAGGCAGTGCTTGCAGCTGTGCAGAGACCAACAGCTCAGAGTCCACAGCTTCCGACTCCTGGGGCGCGACTTGGATTTCGGTTCGGACACGGTGGAGGCCTCTTCGCCACGGCCTATCGGGCCTACGCGGGACATGGGCGGAACATTTTTTGGTTGCATCACATTGTGGATGATTTGGTCTGGCTCCGAGGCGTTTGAAGACAGTTGCGCGCTTCCCGATCCTCGGGCGTTGCTTGTCCGCAGGAACGCGGGAACGCCGAGCGTTGCAGTCGCTGCTTGCCTGCGAGCGCCTTCTCAAGGACGCCGCGGCAGGCGCCGAGCGGGCGGCCGCCGGCGCAGCGCTGGTAGACGGCGCGGAAAGGATATTGTTCAGCATTGCGCAGCTTATCCGCTTCGTCGAGCACCCGTCGCCGAAGTGGCGCCACTTGTCTGTCCATGGCGCCCCGCTCAGTTCGACGGGCTCATGGAACTCAGACAACATGTTACACATGACCAACGTATCATAGGGGAGGGAACGGGGCGCAGGGCGCGCAGCGCGGCTGCCGCGTCTCGCCGGCAGCTCAGAGATCATCTCGCATATGATTCAGCGAGGCGCCGCCTGTCTCACATGCGCCACGGCCTCCAGCTGCCACCCAGGACAGCAGCGCAGGCGGCAGAGGAAGATCGACGCCAGTGCGCCAAGAGAAGGGGAGAAGGTCCAGGCATGTGGAGATTTGCATGCCCAGACACTACAGGCACCAGTGGTCTAAGCCGGAGTACTGGGGGGAAAAACAAATGGGGGGGCGGGGTAGGCGCAATACTTCATGCAATAGTTGGTGCTTGGATGCAATAGTTAGCGGCGTGGGTGCAATAGTTCCGCGCGGGCGTTGCTTCGTCTCGTTTCGTGCGCAATAGTTCAGGCGGGTTGCAATGGTTCGCGCCCCCTCGCAACAGTTCCCGCGCAATAGTGCAGGCGAGCGTATTACTGCACCTACTGTCGTCCCCCCTTTTGTGTCCCCCCCGTTGCTCCAGCGTGAGTGTGGGTTCGTTCGGGAGGCCGCTCGGGCTTTCTTGCATGTCTCCGATGATGCGGCCCGACAGGCTCTTGAAGAGACCCACTGCGAGCTCCCGCAAGAGGCGCCCCCTATTCTCCAGCGGGCCTCGCAGGATTCCACCGAGGCACGCTGGCGGGACCCGCGACCGCAGGTGCGGCGCGCCGACAGATCTGATAGTTTCAGGCCTAAACGATTACGAAGCCCATGCGAAGGATGCATTGCCCGATCGCTTCATGCACCCTGGAATTCTCATTTTGAGCTTCTTCTGCGGCCTACGCCGCGAAGGGGGTGCCCAATGGCCCCCGTCAAACAGGCAAGCCACAGCGGCCATCGCGATCACAGGACATTCGCTGGACATAGCTATAGACCACGCGCTGGGGGACATCGCCAAAAAGGCCGCGATTGAAGAATGGACCGCGCATATTAAACAACACAAAGTGTGAGTCACAGGGGGGGGGGGGGGGGGCGCGGGGCGTGGAACGCGGCCAGATGGAATCTAGGAGGCCCCCCGCCACTACGCACGCAGCAGTATATGCGGCGAGCCCCCTGGCGCACCGACGCTCAGCATCTGCGACTTCGGGTGGGCAACATGTTGCTTATCACCACCGCCCAGTTGCTGGCATAACACGTTCGAGCTGCGGCGCGCGGCTGGATGGAGCACCCGCCGCAGGCCCAATGGCGACCACGATCGCCGTGAAGTTTCCCGCGGTCTCCTCTCTTAGCTATGGAATGTCCGCAGGTTTGTATTTTTCGCTGCGATCAGTGCGCGCACCATGGGTGCGACCCGCAGTTGCGCGGGAGAGGGGCCATTGGCATTTTTGCGTTGCACTTTCCTACGTTACGCGGCCCACCCAAGACTAACAATCGAGGTTTCTGCAATCACGGGAGGGGTGCGCGCTAGGTCCTTGTGGGAAAGAACGACGACGGCATTTTCAAAACAAACAGCAAAAGTACGCACCCACCATCCATGTGTCGCGCCCTTGTGCAAACCGTGCTCGATGCTGTCTGAGCCGCTCATTATAATAACAACGCTGCCACTCCAACATCTGACCCTACTGCCACCGATTTCGACGACGCTACCATGCTGAGATTCTACGCGCCGCGGTCTAAGTCCGAGCAATTCTGGGAGGCGCCCGACTATGCTGGCACCATGGGATATAAACGTAAATCATGCCTACGATCTCGAGACGGACGAGGAGGCCGCCAGGGAGATGGGCGTGGACCGCCCCGCCCTCGGCCATGCCTCGGGCGTGGCTCTCGTGCTGCGTTCTCCTGCTCCTCCTCCTCCTCCACCTCCTTTCCCCCCCCCCCTCCGATTTTCAGCTCACGCCCGAACAGCTTGCGCGTATTCGCCAGAGTCGGGCAGAGGCCAAGGAACGCAAGAGCAACCGCATTGCGCCCTGGCACTTCGATGCCATTTTGTGGCCAGGGCGGTAATTCGCTGTTTCTGTTTCTCCGTCCCGTGGAAGTTGTTTTTTTGCTTTGCGGGGCCATCAAAAGGCCGGAGTCCTCAACCAACCGAACAAAGCACGACCCAGCGTCCCAGCCTTCGTCCGACCGACCTGTCCTCCCCTGCACCCCTCGCACGCTTCGTGGCCCCATTGGGACCTCCATCGAAGGCCCCAGTGGCAAGGTTCGCATGCGGTTCCGTCCCGACTTCGGCACACCCCTCACACGTTTCGTGGCTCCGTAGGGTGCTTCACTGGAGGCCCCAGCGGCAGGGTTCGCATGCGGTTCCACCACCGAGTTCCGGCACATATCTCACACGCTTCGTGGCCCCATGCGGAGCTAGCTCCGCCGAAGGCCCCGGTGGCAGGGTTCGCGTGCGGTTCCATACCACATTTCTGCACACCCCTCACACGTTTTCGTGGCCCCATAAGGAGCTTCGCCGAAGGCCCCAGTGACAGGGTTCGCATGCGGCTTCATCCACTTTCGGCACACCCCACACACGCTTCGTGCCCCCATGGGAAGCTCCACCGAAGGCCCCAGTGACAAGGTTCGCATGCGGTTCCACCCCTAATTTCGGCACAACCCTCGTACGTTTCGTGGCCCCAGTGGGAGCTCCGCCGAAGGCTCCAATGGCAGGGTTCGCATGCGATCCCACCCCCATGTCGGAGCACACACACACACACACACCACACACGTTTCATGTCCCCAAATGGAGCTCCACCGAAGGCCCCAGTGACAGGGTTCGCGTGCGGTTCCATACCACATTTCGGCACACCCCTCACACGCTGCGTGGCCCCATAGAGAGCTCCACCGAAAGCCCCAGTGGCAGGATTCGCATGTGGTCCCATCCCACTTTCTGCACATCTCTCACACGTTTCGTGGCCCCATAGCGAGCGTCGCCGAAGGCCCCAGCCCCAGGGTTCGCGTGCCGTTCCACCCCCCCATGTCACACCCGTCGCGCACTTCGTGGCTCCATAAGGAGCTCCACCGAACGCCTCAGTGTCAGCGTTCGCATGCGGTTCCATCCCAATTCTGGTACACCTCTCACACGCTTCGTGGCCCCATAGCGAGCGTCGCCGAAGGCCCCAACGACAGGGTTCGCGTGCCGCTCCACCCCCCCATGTCGGCACACCCGTCACGCGCTTCGTGGCCCCATAAGGAGCTCCACCGAAGGTCTCAGTGTCAGCGTTCGAATGCGGTTCCATCCCAATTCTGGTACACCTCTCACACGTTTCGTGGCCCCATTAGGGAGCTCCACCGAATGCCCCGGTGACAGGGTTCGCGTGCGGTTCCATGCGACATTTCGGCACAGCCCCACCAGTGGCAGGGTTCGCATGCGGGTCCACCCCAATTTCGGCACATCTCTCACACCGTTCGTGGCCCCATAGGGAGCTCCACCGAAGACGATACTCACAATTGCGGCACTCACAACTGCATATGGTTGGGTCTTTCGCCAGGCCAGTTGCCTTGTCTGGCCTCCTCTGGCCGTTTCTGGCCTGGGGACCTTCAAAAACGAGTCTGGGGTGAAAACTGCACCAAATGGACTGAGGGATGGATCTGGGGACTGATTTGGCCAGATTTGCCAGATTCGCCGATGCATCATGCATCGGCGATAGGGCGCGATGCTCCGATCCAATCAATTGGGAACCCATCTAGGAGGCCTCCAATTCTTCATCCCGAGCCGTTTTTTGACGGCCCCGCGGCCGGGCAAGGGCCCCGAGAGGCCGAAGACGATGGAAGACTCGGAGGCGACGATAGGGGCGAATAGCCCAGGGGCGGGCATTACACGCATTCGCCCAGGAGCCTTTTCGAAGACATAGATCTTCGGCGCCCCTGGATACAAGTATTGCTCCCCCCTGGGCTATTCGCCCCTTTCGTCGTCCCCGAAAGACCTCCGTCCTGATTTGTCTCGAGACGCCGGGTGTCTGGACCCCGTGTGGGCGCGGAGCCCGCGGCATGAGGGCCGGCAGCCGCGGGATCGCCGCGGGGGCGGCCTCGCAGAGGTGACGTCATGGCCCAGGCGCGAGTGGGGGGAGGCTTGCCGCGCGCCTCCTCTGCCCCGGGGGGCTGGGCAGGCGGCGTGTGCCAGCGCTGCGCAGCCACGTGGGCTTCCCAGGCATCCGGCGTTGCGAGACGAACCGGGCCGGAAGGCTTGCGTCGTTTTTCGGCCTCTCGGGGCCCTTGCTGGGCGTCGGAGCCGTCAGGGAACGGCTCGGGGCCGGAAGCCGGTCCCGGGGATGTGGTCGAGAGGTCGGGGGCCGTGCCTCGAACGAATCGAGACGCTGGAAGTCTGGCTGGGCACGGCTGCCTCCACATCTCTGCGCGAACACCGCGGCGTCCTCGCGGAACTCCAGGGGCAGCCTCCGCGTTTCCGAGGGGCGCCCCATGGAGGCTCAGGACGAGCCGCCCGCCCAACAGGGCGGGAGGCGGAGGAGGGCGAGGAGCGGGCAAGTCTGGCTTAAGCTTCTTTCTCTTCGGCTCTTACGTGAGCCCAGTCTATTGCCCGATGCCCCCGTCCTCGTCGCCTTTCTGCCCTCCCCCGAGAGCAATTGGATGTTCACACCTCGTGTGCGTCCGTTTCGGCGCTCGGCCTGGGTCGTGGGGCAGAGTGCGGGCAGGTTGCGGGTCGGATTTTGTTCTGGCCGTGGCCTGGCCTCACAGCCTTCTGGCCGCAGGTCGGCAAGGCCTAACCGTATTCTGTGCCAATGAACGCCCTTTCTGGATGAGGAGGAGGAGGAGGAGGAGGAGGAGGACGACGAGGACGAGAACGAGGCCGATCATGAGGACGAGACGGAGGAAGACGTCGAGGAGGTGGACGGACACGAGAAGGAGGAGGAAGGCCAGGAGGAGGAGGAGGACGAGGAGGACGAGGAAGGGTAGAAGGAGGGGGAGGGGGAGGAGGAGGAGGAGGAGGAGGAGGAGGAGGAGGAGGAGGAGGAGGAGGAGGAGGAGGAGGAGGAGGAGGAGGAGGAGGAGGCGCAGACCGATGCGCCCTCAGGAAGGCACGAGTCCCGACCTGAGGGTCCAGTTCAGTCATAGGTTCGGCTGTCCGCGCGAAGCGCGGTCCGAGCAAGGACAAAGAGAGGCCCCTCCACACCCTCGCGGCGGCGCGCGCGCCTGCCTTGCCGAGTACTGTCTCGTAGAAATAGAAGACGAAGTGCAGCAGCGGCAGCGCAGCAGCAGCGGCGGCGGGGGGGAGGGCCCGAAAAACTAAACGAGTTTAGTCAGAACCCGAGCTGGCACCATCGCCAGTCTCGGGCACAGGACCACGACCAGCACGGAAATCTTCGTACTGGTGCAACGGCACGAACTTCGCACCCGTACGCGGGTGAAGACCAACCTCGAGCCTCTTGATACACTGCTTCTGGTTGGCCTTCGTCGAGGCGTTCTTGGAAAATCCGAAGCAACTCGCACCGAGCTTGACAAAATTTCCAATCGTGCCAGTGCCGCCGCACTTGCGGCAGCAATAAGATTCAGCCGATTTGAAGACATCGTGACCGAGGGCCGAAAACTGCGGAAACCTCGAAGGACCCAACCAAGGGCACGGGGGGGGGCCTCAGGCGTGGGGGGGCCCTGCACCCCTCCGTCACGAGGGCCCTCGGTCAGGAGCCAGTCGGACGCCTCACACGCGATCTGCACGGCCTGCGATCGAGTAGGCAAAAAATCATGTCCGTTGCCAGCCCACCACGATGCCACGGTTGCACTCTGCACTGGCGTAGGAAGACAAAACTTGGTGGTTCGCTGTGTTAGCATGGCCCTCAGCGAGAGCTGATTCTTCGCAAACCGACCGCACAAACGACACCGCCATTCTCCTCGCACGCTGCTGTGCCACATCTCGTGGCTGGCGATCGACAACTGAGGGGGTCGAGGGGGGCTGGAGGACACCAGAGGCACGTCGGGATCACCAGCCCACGCTTGAGACTCCAAGAGTCTTTGAGCAGCCCAGCCCAGAAACTGGAGGGCGGACTTATGATATTTATACTCTCCCGCCAAGACCTTACACAATCTATCCGCATAACTGTGGGGCGCCGAGCCTATCTTTGCGAAGAAATCCGCCCAGACGTTCCCCGCCCAGTGCTCCAGGGAGACTCCACGCTCGACAGCCTCGTCGAGCGACAAATGGGCGGGGCACCAAACGAACTGAGGGGGGTCGTGCTGCTGGTTCCTGAACGTGTCAGCCCATATAGCGACATGCTTCGACAGTCCAGCGGCTTGCTCGGGGTTCCAATCATTGCCCTCTCCGACACTAGCCTGCAAGTCGGAAACAATTCTTTTCAAGGCAGGGGCAAAGTACAACGCCTAGCGAATCGCCCACCGTTCGGCACGGCCGATGGTCTGGCGCACACCAGGCAGAGCGCCGAACGCGGCGCGAACTGGTATTAAATCTGGATCTAACTGGACGACCGCCCAGCCAGCTCGAGAGACTTCGGGGATGCTCGACTGAAGGCAACTCCCGTCAACAAAACTGGTTGGCTCCCATGGGCCTGTAAAGTTCCCCCACACTTGGACCTCAGGGCTGGTCCCTGGTGGCTCAAGAGAAACAGAGAGGGAGGGAACCCCATAGGTGAGGTAGGTGGCATCAGCCTGTGGGTTCCCTAAAATGTCTAAACAGGAGGTAATTAACGCTTCTCTATGGCTCAGAATCTTGTCGGGGACCGCCTCGCCTAACGCATCAGCGCCGTCCAAGACCAATCCAGCACAGTCATGCCATATGTGCCCATTTGAGCCCAAGGGGGCCTGACAGACACGACAATCAGGAGCGAGTTGATAACCCTGAGAAGCACGAACACCAGGAAGGGGAACCACATCGGCCATGACCGCCGAGAGCGCACCGAGTTGACGAGGACACCGAATCGCCTTTAGACCTCCCCTCAACGCCCTGTGCCACACAATCTCATTGCCGTGTAATGTGTGCATGTGGTGCAGAAGCCTACGATGTTGCCACCTCTGTATGCCCTCAATCATGTAGAGCTTGAGCTCGCACGGGCAAGTAGTGAGCAGGTTAATGGTAACCTTAGTGTCCGAGACGAACGTGTGCGCACTAGACATAGCCCATCCGATACGATGAAGTGAAAGCCAGCAGGCCGACATGGGCCCCTCTGCGATATGCCACGTCGGGTTGTCGACCATGTATGTGCTTAGCCTTGCCCAGGCCCGTTGGGCCTGCCCCAGACAGACACGTCGATCCCAGATCCAGGCCGCGTAGCGTATGCATATACCGAGCGTGCAATCATATATGGGGTCGTAGTAGGGGTCACGGTGAGCAAGAAGGTAAGCCGTGACTCCACCATGCCGTTTGCCACCGGCCAGAGTCGAGGCCATCTGTTTGAAATAACGCAGCGAAACATCCGAGACTCCAGAGACCCCACCTCCATGCTCCGCTGCTGGGAACGCCCCCGTTCGGAACAGGAGCGAGACCTTGCGCCCAACGGCGCTGCGCAGCGCCATGAACTTGCGTCGGCGCTGCTTGAGAGACTTGAGGCGAGCCTTCTCCTGGAGCCATGACACTTTGCCGCCGGCCTTCTCATGGCCCAGATTTCGCATCCAGGGTCGAAGCTACAACTTAAGCTGGGCCGCTCCTTTGCGAAACAGATGTTTGGCCTTGCCTGAGGCCGCCACAATGCCTGACTTCTTGGGCTGAGTATGCAGCCCCGATCCCTGGGCGTCGAACCTGAAGATCCGCACGGCCTTCTCGAGCTGCGGCAAGGTGTCGGGCGAGGTGGCGACCAGCTGCAGCGACACGTCGTCGACGAGCGCTCTCGGCGTCACGCAAGGAGCAATCTGATTGAGACGCTTGAGCGCCCGAAACGTGAGGACGAAAAGCATGCCTGTAGAATGACTGCATCCAGCAAGTCTGCCTTGAAAAGCCTCGAGGGACTCGGAGAGACTTCCGAATGCCTTAAGACGCCGTGGTTGCCTGTGCAACTCCACGAGCATCCGCGCGAGGCGAAGGGGATATGCGACGGCCTCCGCTTCTTTGATGAGCTGAGCGGGGTGAACCATTTCGAAGCACTTGATCATATCAAGCAGAAAAGATATTGAGATTTCGCCGAGCAGGGTGGCCGGCTCCGCGGACAGATTATGCGAGAATGCGCTGTCCGTGGAGCTATGCCGCTTCCTGGCGCCCCAGACCTCGAGACAGCCATGCAACTCCTGCCATCTACAAGTCACAGGCTTTCTGAGTTTCCCCCAGGCTCGGCACAGGGTATTGATGAGAGCAATCAGGCGGGCTCCCCCTTCAGGCTTGGCCAAACGCACCATTTCCGTCCAAACGCGCTCGTTGGGCCAAGCTAGATGGGCCTCGCATCCATTGAACAGGAAAGCGATGCCGTCATAGGCACCTTTACTTAAATGCAGCAAGGCCCGCGGGGCGATACGCGAGGGGCCAGCTGCCGTACTGATCTTAAACTGTTGGATGCAATCTTCCACCTCCAAGGCAGTGGCGCAAGGGGGCGAGGGCCAGGCGCGGGCCCCATCGGGGAGCGGAACCTTGGAACAGTCGTGGGCCATCCAGATGTCGGCCCATGGCCGCATCTCCTGGTCAGACAGCTGAAAGGGTTGTGACTTGGAACCAGCAGCGACGACCTCTTGAACAGCTCGCACCTTGCTGAACCTATGGGCTTGAGACGCCCCTCTCTGAAAAGCTTCTCGGGCCCAGGATAGCCAAGCTGAGCTCGCGGCGGCTTCGGCGACCCCAATCTTGGCCTTGGCGGCGAGATACACATGCGCGAGGCAGTCAGCAAAATCAGCTCTGGCCAGGACGGCAAAACCAGACCTGAAAAATTCAGAAGTGCGATCATCTAATCTCGTGAGCACTTTTTTTGCACGCTCCAATCTTGATCATGAAATTTGAAGCCTCGGCTAGTGCACGCAACAGCTTGACATGCTGGTCGGGAGTGAGATCACACATGGCAGCACACTCCTGGAGGCTCTCCACCTCCTTGGCAAGGAACTGCCTGAATTTGCCGAGGTGCTTCGCCCATCGTAAAGCTGTGGCCCAAGCCATAGTGCTCGGGTCCTTATAGGTGCGAAACTTAGGGGGGCGGGGGGGGGGGCACACGAGTTTCTTCCAGTTGGTCTTTGGCGGGCCCGCCCTCCCCAAGAAGGCAGCACTGCGCGCTCCAATTCGGTCCCACCTGGAGGACAACTCAAATTCAATGCCAGAAACGACCAGGTCCCAGAGCCCCGTGAGGTCCCCTTGGTCCAAAAGATGAGGCCCCGCCAGCTCCAGCACGGCCTTCCAAGGGTGCACAGGGGGCCTCGCGCATCCAACAGGAGGCACAGCAGGAAAAGGCTTGGGCTCATCTGGGACCCCGGCCCATTGGAGTGTCGACGGAGGCGAAGCCAATGGAGATAGGGAGGTGAGGAAAAGTAGAGGCCTCCTCGCCCACCTGCGCCTGCCTCGGCAAGCGCGTGGCCAGCGAGCTGCTGGCGATGACAAAATCAATGAAAGAGCCAGGCAGAGACTTCTTGCAAGTGGGCACCGCTGAAACGTAGCCGATTGCGCTCGCAGCCTCCAGCCACGCTGACTGGTTGAGCTCGTCGATCTCCATGTTCCAGTCCGCGCAGGTGATCCACCCGACCTGCAGCGCGTTGAGGACACACAAATATTGGACTATTGTCCAGATGTACGCGCTGTTGGCGGCACCGAATCCTTCACCGTCCTTGAGGTGCTCCGGGATGACGACCACTCCACCTGGCGTGCCCCATCGTACGTGGCCCGCGACTGCACGCCCTGGAATCAGGATGTGGCTGTCAATCTGCGGTGGCGCCGTGACTGTGATATGCGATGGTGCCAATGCTGCAACGCCACTTGACGTGCCAGCGCCGCTGTCACTGACGACGGCTGGCGCCCACAATCCCTTCCATCCAGCGTCGAGCATTGCGTGCTTCTTGTCAGCCAGGTGCTCCTGGTCGACGTGCGTTTCTTGTACAGCAAGAACCGAGCAATTTGCGTCTACCGCGTAGTCGAGGATAGGGCCGAAAGAGCTCCCATGAAGCGAGACGCTGCTGGGTTCATGCTTCCGAGATTCCGAGTGAGATTCAGCAAAAGGTTTGGACGAGGCGGCGCCCGACGCGCCGCACGTGGCCGAGGTCGGGGAGGTACTCGCAGGCAACCCTCCAGCCGACCCCTGGCCCAGAGAACCCGCACGGTGGTCCTGGCCCACCGAGGGTTCACGCACATTGCCGGGGCCAGCCTTTGCAGGGGACCCGCGGCCCGTAGAAGTCGACAAGGAATCCGAAGTTGATGAACTGCCTGTCGTAGCAGGCGTAGCCGACAACGCACGCGTAGGCACATCATCAGCAAACGGTAGGGCAGCCTCATGTTGTTCCGATAGAAAGGGACCAACATCATCGATCTGCTCGAAAGGGTCGACGTCAGAGTCATCCAAGTTGTTAGTATGCCCAGCCATCATGATGATCAAAAGTAAGATGAAACAATAAAGCGAGTACGTCCTTGCGCGATCACGCTTTGGCCTTGAGCTTCTTGGCGAGGCTCTGGGCGCTGGGCAAGTGACGCTTGAGCTGATCTCGCAGAGCAGGTGCGTCATCCTCTGAATCCACTTCACCAGGTACAGGGACATCGACTCCACACTCTTTGAGATGCTCACGACAAGTGGCGGCGTCCATATCGTCCATTTGCTTGGAGGTGGCCTCGTAGTCGTCCACGTCCATTTGGCTGGCATCGGCTTCGCACTCAGGCGGCTCCTGAGCTGGTGCCGAAGGGCTCGCAGCCTCCGAATGCGGTGCCGTTGCTGACGGCTCCTGCTCCAGCCTGGTGACCATCTCCGCCATGGCCTGCATGCCAGCAGTGAAGCGCTCAGAGCCACCAAGAGACTGAAGGACGGTGCCCAGCTGCGAGACCGTCGCTTTGAGCCCTGGGATGACCGTGCTGAGCGTGGGAGGCTTGCCTTCACCCCCAGTGGGTAAACTTCGCGCCACAATCTCACGCAGCTCGTTCTCCAGTGTGAGCAGGTGGGCGGCAGCCTCTGCGTCGGCAGACTCCGCCTTGACCAAAACCTCATTGGCCTTCTCGACGGCCTCCTTGGCAGCCAGCACCTTCGCAGCACAGTTCGCCTTCTTCTTGCGAGCATCCGTGACCTTCCTATTCTGGGCGCTGACGTTGGTCTCAAGAGGCTTCTCGGACTGCAACAGCTCCTGAATGGAAGTACGCTCAGCGACGAGCCTGTCACGGTACTCAGCGTCCGAGACACCCAGGGACTTGAGAATGTTGCCAATCTCTGCCAGGCGCGCGCGCCGATCAGCCTGAGGATTGGCTTCCTGTGTGGCCCACGGTAGTGTCGACGAGGACGGCCGAGAGGATCCTCCTGGCTGCTGCTGTATCTGCTGCATCATCTGGCGGGTGAGGTCGGCGACATGCTTGGCCAGTGCAGCCTCGCGCTGGGACTGGATGGTTGGAGAGCGAGCCACAGGGTGCTTGGGCGGCGGGACTCCCTTGAACGCCGACCCCTTGGGCAAGTTACATTGCGAGCACCACTTGTGATCTGCCCGATTGATCCAGCTTGTGTCCGTGGGCTTGTGCACACACCACCTGCACATCCACGGCTGAGCATTCTCGACACGCCAATTGAGTCCCATTGCACGCAGCACAGCAGGAAGAGGACTGACCACCGACCACCGCACAGCCTAGTCGAGGTGAACACTGCGATGCGTGGGGCGGACCACGCACCGCTCAGCCTGGGGCGAACCAGGCGAAAGTTGAAAGCTGGCCGCGGACTAGCGGTATCCACTTTGCTCCCAGGGGAAACCAAAACCTTGAGCCAAAATGGCTACGGAGAGGAGGAGGAGGAGGAGGAGGAGGAGGAGGAGGAGGAGGAGAGGAGGAGGAGGAGGAGGAGGAGGAGGGGGAGGGGGAGCGGGAGGAGGAGGAAGAAGAGGAGGAGGAGGAAAAGGAGGAGGGAGGAGGGAGGAGGAGGAGGGAGGAGGGAGGAGGGAGGAGGAGGAGGAGGAGGAGGGAGGAGGAGGAGGAGGAGGAGGAGGAGGAGGAGGAAAAAGAAGAGGGAAAATGATAAGTGAAGGACGAGGAACAGGCCGATGAGATCGTGCCTTCCTGTGGCCCAAAGCGGCCCTCCGCGCAGGAGCAACCGACGTCCTTGGAGCTGCAGCGGTGCCCGCGGCCGGCGGGTGCCGCCTGCATGGCGCGGGATCCCGACGACCTCCGCCGCCTGGTGCGGTGCGGGCTTCCGCCCGCGCGCCGCTGGCAGGCCTGCTGGGACGTGTGGGAGGCAACGCAGAGATGCTCGCGGGGGGGGGAGCGACAGGGAGGATGAGGCCGGGAGGGTCGAGGAGGAGGGAATCTCGGGCTCGAGATTTGAGAGGTTTTCGGACGTGCTCGCTGGTTGTCGCCTGTTTTCCAGCCTCGGGATGTGTTCCAGCAGCTGCGCCTCCCCGAGAGGCGGCTGGGGCTGCCTGGATAGTCCCGAACGGCCGCTGGAGACCCGAGTTGGGACCCGACCGAAAACCAGACTCGACCGAGATCCGACTGAATGATAAATGTCCATGCCAAAATGGCGAAACAATATGCGCCTTAATGATCTGGCCCCCCTTAGCTTCGGTCACGCGGAACCGCCCAAATAAGCCGGCCCCACCGGCCCTTCGAAAAGTCGCCTTAATAAACCGGCCCCCGGGGCCGCTTCTTAGGCACATGACTTGAGGACAGCCCCTTTCTATGCCAGGAGGCACGATGGCGGATTTGTGTGTATGTGCTTCTGTGTGCGTTGTGTTTTTCTCGGGGGAGTAATTCAGATGGGCCTGTCTTCCACCACCACCACCACCACCACCACCATAAGTTGGAGGGGGAAGGAGGTGGAGGATGATGATGATGATGATGATGATGATGATGATGATGATGCTGATGCTGATGATGATGATGATGATGAGGAGGAGGAGGAGGAGGAGGAGGAGGAGGAGGAGGAGGAGGACCCCCTCCCCCTCCAACTTATGGTGGTGGTGGTGGTGGAAAACAGGCCCATCAAATTCGTTGTGTGCACGCTGGCTTCAGTGCTTTCGCTCGTTCCACGCGGTTGTCCGCATCCCGTTCGAGCATTTTGCGACGGTGCCGTCACCTCGCCGGAGCAGGAACCGGTGTGCGCTGCTTGATGTACCTCGAGGCGTTTCCAAGTTCGGTATCATTTAACCAATCCCCATCCCCATCCCCATCCCCATTGAGACCCCCACCAAGTTGCCACCCCAGTTGGGGATACACCCCTCGAAACCCGAAGGGAACGACCTATATCCCCATCTAGGGTTGTAAATCGGCCAGTGGGGCCCAGGCCGCGCCGCTGGGGATGGGGATCGGTTAAACGATACTCACGAGTGCTGTCTTGCCGCTCGCCTCACAAGGCAGCGAGCTGAGTTGATTGGCGTCCCCCAGACATTAAGTCGCTTGTTGGATTCACTAGTGCGTCAGGTCAAACAGTGTTGTTTGTGGCTCGTTGGGCACCTAGCACTAAGCACACCTCCTGTCAGCTGCTACAAGGTCCAGAGCTGAAGGCCGTCAAATGCATATGCAAATAGACGGTGGCGGACGCTGCCCTCTTGGAGCCCGCGACTGGTGATCATTTTTGACGCTTCGAGTATCCCCACCTGCCCATCCAGAAGCACTCGCCAGGGGAGTTGACCTTATCAGGAATGTGCGGCAGCATGCAGTGGAGCAAAAAGAGGGCAGCCGTTGCCTCCGGAAAGAGAAATGAGGATCTCTGGAGCTTGCCTGGAGCTCTTGGGAAGCTTAGGAGGGGATGGAGGGCGATCTGGAGAGCTATGGTGTGGGTCGGGGGGGGTCTCTTGGAGCCCTCTTGGTGGCCTCTGGGCCTCTGTCGGGGCCACCCTGCAGGCCATCGATCGAGAAAGGGGACGACGTCGGAGAGTGGGGACAGTGAGACACTGGTGGGGGCACTGGTGACAGCGGGGACAATGGTGGAAACAGTGGGGACAGTGGGACAGTGGTGGGGACGGTGGTGGTGGGGACAGTGGTGTGGGGACAGTGGGAATGTTTTGGAAACAGTGGGACAGTGGAGGCTGCAGTGGTGGTGGCAACAGTGGTGAGGGCGGTGGCGAGGACGGCGGGGGGATAATGGGACAGAGGTAAGGTAAGGACAGTGGTGGGGACAGTGGGGACAGTGTGGGAACAGTGGGACAGCTCAGTGGGACAGCGGTGGGGACAGTGGGACAGTGGGGACAGTGGGACAGTGGTTGGGGCCGTGGAGAAAGTGGGGAGTGGAACCGTGGTGGGGACAGTGGTGGGGACAGTGGGGACAGTGCGACAGTGCGACAGTGGTGGGGGCAGTGGTGAGGACAGTGGTGACGGTGGTGGGAACAGTGAGGACAGTGGTGGTGAGGACACTGGTGCTGGGGGCAGCAGTGGGGGATGTGTTGTTTGCTGGCGGTGAGTGTGGGGGGGGGGAGTGGAGGGGTTCGAACCGGTAGTGACCCCCCCTGGTTTTCGAGAAGGGGGGGGGGTCGAACCAGTAGTGACCCCCCGCGGTTTTCGAGGGGGGGGGGAGGGGTTCATACCGGTAGTGAGCCGAGACCGATTTTCGAGGGGGGGGGGGGGCGGTTCGAACCGGTAGTGGCCCCCCCTGGTTTTCCAAAGGGCGGGGGAGGGGGTTAGGGGAGAGGGAGGTTTTGCCGGGGGGAAGGGGGACCGGGGGGGGGTCCAGCAGGGGGGGGGGGTTCGGAGGGAGGGGGGAACCCCGGGTTCCGGAGGAAGAGGGGGGGAAATTTTCCACAGTAAAGCGGCGGTGGATCACGCTCTCTCGACTCATCGAACCCACCAGCGCAGCACGCGCGAACAAACCAAGGCACAGTGCGTACGCGATGCCGTGCAATGAGACCCTCGATGCCTTACGCATCTTCCATACGTATTATTGCACGCTTTGGGCGATAAGGAGGTTCGGGGCTGAGGGACATGTAGGTCGATGGTGATTTCCCTTTGCATCTCGGCTTGCATTTCTATTGTCATGCTGGTTGAAATTGGGCTTGCATTAGATTCGCAGCTCGTCTACGTGAAAATGTCGAATTGGTAGTCATATCATCGTTGTGGCTTGCCTATCAAATTGAATATCGATTACACTTATGTTTGACGTCTGATGTGCTGATGCGCATTTCGAATTGCATGATTTGTGCACTTCGGTGCGTAATCCGAATTGCATTTCGTTTGCAAACGGGTTTGCATGCCTTTTCAGACACACACACACACACACTCGCAACAACCCACGGGCCCCCCCCCAGGACAACCCGCGGCACATCCTACGGGACAAATTCGGGACGTCCCACAGGGCCACCCATGGGACAACCCACGGGGCAACCCACGGGACAGCCCATGGTCCAACCACGGGACAATCCGCGGGGCAGCCTACGCGACAGCCACACGACAACCCCCAGACGACCCCGCGCCCAACCGCGAGACGGGGACAGCGACAGCCAGACTTCCGACGCAGCATCGCATTCGCGCAGTTTCGCCTCGCCTCGCCCGCAGGCGCGAGACGAGCCGAAGCTGACAGATTTTCTTGTCGGGGTCACCTCGTTCTCGCCCCCGAACCTCCTTCTCGCCGGAGTGTCCTTCTCGCCAGGGCTTTCTATGTTGCTTTTTGCCTTGAGCCTCACGTCATGCAGATAGAATCGCATCGCATGGGCAGAGCTGCGGGCAGCTGCCACTCCGTCATTGAGTGCATAGTGGCATGTTGCCATGCGATCGTATTATCGTATTGCAGTTATCATGGCGACACGGTCAGAGCCTTTTAGTGTAGGTTTTAATTGGCGTGCAGAGCGGGATCACAGCCGGCCCTATGATAGCCAATCATGCGGCCGCTTGGACCAAGTGAGTGTTCACAGGTATGGGCTCGACACGCGTGTGGCCGAAAACTTCATTCCTTACCGGTCTTGTTCGTGCCCGCTGGGATATCGGGCAGCCCAGCCAGGGCCCTCTGGGCATCTCTTGGGGCTCCCTTGTACGTTGGTACCTTCTTGAGCGACCTCTGGGCCTCGCAATGGCAACTTGGGGCCCCGTGCCACCACATCCTGAGTATGGGGTTCGTTTTGTCAGTGCTGCGTCTCCGCCTTACTCACATCGCCCGCCTCCTTCTTCTCTCGCTCAGACTCGAACTCATACTGACTGACATTGATACCCGCTGCCAGTAAGAGTCACTCGTACTCTGATTCACTTATGGTCATACCACACTCAGATCCACGCATTCTCAACAGGGTCGTATTCGAACTCGTACACGCAGACTGTTCACATTTGTTCAATCGCTTCGCTGACTCCGCATGCCCCCCGTGTTGGCGTTCGTGGCCTCTTGGGGGCCTCTTGGGGGCCTCTTGGGGGCTGTTTGCGAGCCGTTTGGGGGCCTCTCGGGGCCTTTTGTTGGGCCTCTTGGGGGCCTCGTGCGGCCTCCAGGGGTCTCTTGAGGGCCTCTCGGGGCCTCCTGGAGGCCTCTTGGGATGGAAGGCTCGAATTGGTGGTTCGTGTTCCCCCTCTTGGGCCCCTCTGGGGGCCGTCTTGGGGCCCTTTTGGGCGATCTTGGACGCCTCTGGGGCCGTTTTGGGGCCCTCTTGGACCGTCCTGGGGCCCTCTTGGGGGCCTCTCGGGCCGTCTTGGGGTGGTATTGGGGGCCTTCGGGGCCATCTTGGAGCGTCGGAAGGCCGAAAACACGAAGGCGCGAACCACATCGAAAAGCACAACGAAAATCAATGGTTGCTTCTTTTGGCTCTCTTTGGGGTCCTCTTGGAGGGCTTCTTTGGGGCCTCTTGGGCCATCTTGCGGCCATCTTGGGCGTCTTGGAGTGTCTTTCCAGCGACTGGGGCTGTTTTGGGCCGCTCTTGGGGCTCTTCGGGACGCTCTGAGGGCGGCGCCCTGGAGCAGAAGTATCTCTGACAGGGACTGCCTGGGACCCGTCGAGGTAATGTTCGGCCGCGGACTCCCAGGGGCCGCCCAGCGCATGCGATTTAGAAATACTGTTTACGAGTTACCGGAGATTGTAGAACGCCTCTGGCCCGTGGGGTCGGCGAATGTCTCCTCGCACTCAGACTCACACTCAGATTCGCTCAAACAGACTCACTAAGATTCAGTCTAGTCTTGTTCAGGTTCATACACACATTTCGCTCGCACTCATATTCGCTCGCCACTCAGAGTCCATCGCATTTAGACTCGCTCACACGCAGACTCGCAGATTCACCACTCACATTTACTCCGTCACCCATGGTCACG